TTCAGGAATCCAAGTATTACCCACAGCAGTTTGGATTTTCTTGGCTGGTATAAGATTCATTTTCCCCCTTGTGCTTTTTCATCTTTTTGAGACAGGGTCTCCCTGCAGCCCCAGCTGGCCTAGAAATTGCTGTGTAGACCAGGATGGCCTCCACCTCACAGAGGTCTGCCTGCCTCTGCCTCCTCAGTGCTGGGGTTAAAGACATTTGCCACAGTGCCAAGCCCCCTTGTGCTTTTTCAAAGGCTAAATAAAAACAGTTTTTCATAACATAATGGTGGAAGATAATTACAGCAATATCACTAACAATCAAGTTGTTCTGCTTAAGCTTGAAAACTAGTGTTTCTGACACAACACAAAGCATCATTCTCAGCCTGTGGACACAACTTGGAGTGGAATGGGCAACAGAAAGGGTTCATGTGGCCTCTATGCTATACGATTAAGGAGTCAAGCCTAGAAATCTAGAAGAATTTTATGAAAAGTTGTGTGAAAATGGGAGCTTATTGGCTAAAGCTGTGGTGAACCCGGCAGACACTATCCTGAAGCCTACACATGACTCTTGAAACAGATGGGCAATGTTCGGTGAGATCTGGTCCCTTCAAAGCTCTGCATGAACTTCAACACTCATGGTGGGTATCCACTCCCACCTCTCGCTTTAGATATTCTGAACTTTCAGCTTCTCAACCAGCTTGCATAAGAAATGGCGTGGTGGGGGCAGGAGAGATGGCTCAGTTAAGAGCACTGGCTGCTCTTGCAGAGGACCGGGTTCGATTTCCAGCACTTACATGGTATCTAACAACTGCCTGTGACTCCGGTTCCAGAGAGTCCAAGACCTTCTTCTGATTTCCGTGGGCATTGCACTACATGGGTGCACTTACATGCATGCAGGCAATACATTCATACATATAAAATAAAAATAATTTTTTAAAAAAGGAAAAAAATGGTGTGTGCTATGCCAGAGTCCGTCTATATGGCCTATATTCTGAGGTCTGATGCTCACCCCAGTTACATGTTTCTTCCTTTAAGCATTTGTAGTCTGTGACAAACCTTTCCACACACATCATTCTTCCAAATCTTCACCAGCCTCTGCCAGTGACTGCGGCCTATGCTCTGCAGAGCCAACAATGCAGACTCCCACTAGAAACAGAGAGCACTACCAGCACTGGCTCCCTTCTGCCAGCTCTCCTTGTTCAACCTCCAAAAGCTGACTCTCCTTCCATGTCTCTGTGTTTTCCTTCTTGATTTTCTTGAATCCCTGCATGAACTCCCAAATTTGAGTCTCTAAGGGAAGTTTCTGGCTATGTTGGATAACTTTGGTTGTCAACTTGACACACATGGATAAGGGAGCCTCAACTGAAGAACTGCCTCCATTGGGCTGGCCTGTGGCTATATGTCTGTGAGGCATTTTCTTGATTATTGAGTGATGTGAGAGGACCCAGCCCACAGTAGGCAGTGCCACCCCTGGGCAGGTGATCCTGTATTGTATAAGAAAGCAGGCTGAGCACAGGCCAGGGGAGCAAGTCAGAAAAACAAAACAAAACAAGACAAAAACCCAGCATTCCTCCATGGCCTGTGCTTCTACTCCTGCCTCTAGATGTCTGCCCAGAGTTCCTACCTTGGGCTCCCTCAATGATGAACTGTGACCCAGGAGATGTAAGATAAAATAAACCCTTTCCAACCCAAGTTGGTTTTGGTCAGAGTGTTTTTGATCATAGCAATGGAGAAGCAAACTAGAACACTGGTCATCAGCAGGACTTAAACAAAAGTGTATGTGCAGGGGGACATTATATGGGAATAGGTTTTATATTCATAATCCCCCTGTGGGATTCCATTTTCTGGTCTGCTAAGAGGAAGGGTAATTAATACAATACTAGAGATTCAGAACCCTGAAATCAGAAATACTATGAGCTCTGAAACTTTATGAGAGTGCACATGATGCCACAAGTAAAATTCCACAATATAAAACTCTGTTTCAGGGCTGGAGAGATGGTTCAGCAGTTGGGAGCACTGGCTGCTCTTGCAGAGGACCTGGGTTCAATTCCCAGCATCCACATGGCGGCTATGAACCATCTGTAACTCCAGTTCCAGGGGAATCTGAAGCCCTCTTCTGACCTCTGAGGCATTGCACAACACAGGTGCACTCACATACATGCAGGCAATATACTCATACACATAAAATTAAATAAAATAAATAAAATATTGAAGAAAAACAAAAACTGTTTCATGTACAGAATACAAAGATCACAGCAAATTACTTACAGGCTCTGTGCATATGAAGGACACAAGAAACAAATTAACTTCATGTTCAAACTTCTGGCTCATTTCTAAAGCATTTAATTATGTTTACAAAATCATTTCAAAATTCAAAATATGAAACATTTCTGGTCACAAACAATTTGGACATGGAATAACCAATCTATGTATGACCCTTTTGGGCATTAAAATAATCTATCTCTGGGGCTGAAGAGATGGCTCAGAGGTTAAGAACACTGGTTGTTCTTGCAGAAGACCCAAGTTCGAATCCCAATACCCACATGGCAGCTAACAACTGTCCGTAACTCCAGGCCCAGAGGATCCAATAGCCTCTTCTGACCTCCCTGGGCATTGCACAACACGGGTGAACTTACCTACATGCAGGCAATACATGCATATACATAAAATAAATAAAATTAAAATAATCTATCTGTGCTGTAAGGTAGATCCAATATGGACATATAGTCCAAAAAACCAGTTTTAGCTAGGCTCAGATATACACTAGGATCTGTGATTATATACAAGTTGTTGGGCCCTTTTCTCCAGCATAAGAGAGTGCTGCTGCTGGTAGCAAAATGAGAGAAAATATATGTATAAGTAAAGTCTTAAGATACATTCACAGCATTGAGCCCCACACAGAGTCCAGGTGACCTGAGGCACAGGCAACAGGCTCCTATGACACTTTCTCCTGTGTATTTGGTTACACTCTTAGTTGGAACTTTTCACCATAGTAATAAGCACTACATCCCTAACAAGAGCCAAGTGCCAGCAAAACAATGGTCTAATGTAGCTACACATCCATTCACCCCAATCTTCTTAGACTATGCCCTGAATGGCAAAAGTTGATAACTGTCGCTAAACTCGAATGGTATCTGTGTAGTATCCTTATGCCATTCCTACAAAATAAAGCATTGCACAACTAAAAAAAGTACATAATTCTTTTAAACTCTTTTTTTTGGTGGGTTTTTCTTTTCTTTTCTTTTCTTTTTCTTTCTTTCTTTTCTTTCTTTTTTTTTTTTTTTTTTTTTTTTTTTTTTTGCTGGCCTGGATTCACTAATGGAGACCAGGCTGGCCTCGAACTCACAGAGATCCGCAACTCCCTATGGAAACCAGGTTGGCTTTACTCTCACAGAAATCTGCCTGGCTCCCAAGTGCCAGGATTAAAGGCGTGCACCACCATGCCCAGTTTCTTAAACTCTTAATCACAGCATACTCATACACTGATTAGATAGTCAGATAGTGCATAATTCAGCTACTAAAATGTCATTTTTTTTAACCATTTCATTATCAAACAAGTAATAGCTACAATGGGTCTTTATTTTAGGAACTTTAATATCTTATTAGAGAAAATTTTAAACACAGACATAGTAGAGCTTAATTAATGAACAGTGAGTGGGCAGCAATCCACACTCACTTCAACAGTGCTTGGCAGGACTTATCTACATTCCATCATCTCTCAACTGCAGATTGCTATGCAAATTCTAGACAACTAAGCTACATCCCCAGTGCTATAATCATAAATATTTCATTCAGTTTGCATCAGTATTAAGTAAAAGACAATTTAAAAGAATACACTCCAGCACTCGGGAGGCAGAGGCAGGTGGATCTCTGTGAGTTCAAACAAACAAAAATTCACAGTATCATTGCACCTAAAAAGCAGAAGTAATAAATCCTTAAACAATCCACATCCAGTGTATTCAAGTTTCCATTTCAGAGACACTGGTAATCCTAAAGAAAGTTCTATCACACTGTCAGTTAATGAATGTACAGTAAGTGGCACACAGTGACATGCAGTCTACAGAGACTCTATGCTCTGTGATAAGCTAGGTACAATCACTAGCCTCCAGTCTCCCACAAAAATCTCATGAAAATAACCAGCCAGCCAGGTATGGTGGAACATGCCTTTAATCACAGCACTCTCAAGGCCAGCCTGGTCTACATAAAAAGTTCCGGGCCAGTTGGGGCTGCAGGGAGACTCTGTCTCAAAAAATACATAGATAAATAAAATAAATGATTAATTATCATGTCTTAGATATTAATGATTATTTTTAACAGTCAAAATCACAAAGTTCAACATACAAATGCCATGGATCTAACATACTGGCCTAATGAGATTAACTATTTTTGAATGAGTCCTAAGCACAATTTAGCATTTTACATTCAGATTGGCCCCTCATTTCTCATTTCTGAGAATACACTGCCTTTGAACTTCACTCACCTGTAAAAAGGTGTGAACACGTTTTCTTCAGCTTATTGGCTTGATCAAATAACTTTCGAGAACTTTTGTTAGAAGCTGGACTTAACCTCTGCCTTATGGTTTTAACACCTTGTCTGGAGTCTGGGTTGAAGAAAATCACGATGGGAAACCACTGGGTATAATTGAGCAGGTCCACAGCTTTGGGAGTCACATCTAGCAGTGCGTGTTTGTCCTGTTCCAGTGGGGGAGAGGATAGCATGCAAGGACAGAAAGCAACACAGCATCAAGAAGTTTGTTTACTATGTAAAGGCTGTATCAGATAAAATTTCTATCTTTAAATAAAAAAAAAAAGATTTTCCACATTATGCCCATTTAGATATGATCACATAAAACTTCTTAGAATGTAATAACCCTCCTTATCCATGGTTTCCCTTTTCAGTTTCAGTTACTTGAGGCAACAGCCAGTGAAAAGAAAGGCAAGAACACTACAAGGATTTAAGGGGGATGCAGGGGGAGGGGGAGAGTGAGAGGCCACATTCATCTAATGTTTATTGGAGTACATTACTATTATTGTTCTGTTCTTTTTTTTTTCCTGTTTATCTCCCACCATGACAAATTTATAAACCAGGAAAAAACCATTACAAATAGGGCTCTGAAGCCAGACGTGGTGGCGCACGCCTGTAGTCCCAGCACTTGGGAGGCAGAGGCAGGTGGATCTCTGTGAGTTCAAGGACAGCCTGGTCTACAATAGTGAGTTCCAGGACAGCTTGGGCCACAGGGAGACCCTGCTTCAAAAAGCCCCCCCCCCCAAACAACAACAACAACAACAACAACAAAAACCCAAATAGGGCTCTGCACTCCCATGGTTTCAGACACCTGTCAGGCATTCTGAAACATACTCTCTTCCCAAAAAGGGGGTCTACGATTAAGACTTAATATAATGCTGGGAACTCTGCCACAGAAGAGTGACTGTTTTGTAAAATGAAAAGGCTCTTATTTACATGACTTCTATCATTAATATTTTATTAAAATACATATTCTATTCAAAATCATGATCTGGGGCTAGAGAGATAGCTCAGCAGTTAAAAGTGCTGGCTAATCTTGCAGAGGACCTGGATTCAGTTCCCAGCACCCTCATAGTGGCAAACAGTATCTGAAATGCCAGTTCCAGGGGATCTGATGCCCTCTTTGGGCTTCTTCAGGCATTGCATGCATGTGGTACACTTACATGCAGGAAAACACTCATACATATAAAATAAAAATAATAAATAAACCAAATCATGAGCCAATTCTGATAACATGGCCTTCTATGAGTTTTCTCACCTGCTCAATAATTTGCCTCACAGTATTCAATCGAACTACTCCACTTGATTTCTCAGATCCTGCGTCTTTGGGTTCAGTTTCTGCAAAAACAAAAATGGGGCTAAGTAAAGTTGTGGAAACCAGTGACAACCAAATGCTCCAACTCAGCATCAGCACAATAATGGAACAGCTAGCATTAGACATCACCTCAAGACAACAAGCAACAGAAGGATCCACGCCAATTGTGTGCGTGCGTGCATGCGTGTGTACATATTCGTGTGTGTGCTTTAGGCATCAAACTCCAGGGTTTTATGCATGCTAAGTAAGCACCCTACCACTGAGCTACATCCCCAGTACTATTTAATGGAAACCTAGTCATGAAGAAATAGCTAGGTGAGTCTGTCATGGAATACTCTTTGAGCCAATTGGCTTGTATGCGCCAAATATTAATGTCCCAAGTAATATTTTTTAGAAGAGTGATCTAGGCCAGAGAGCAGGATGGCCAGCTTTGGCACATAGTGACAACAGAGAGCAGTGAGGGAATTAAAAATGGGTGATGTTGAGAAATGCAAGATTTTTGTTCAGAAGAGTGCCTGGTGCCACACTGTGGGAAAGAGAGGCAAGCACAATACTGGACTGAATGTCCATGGTCTGTCTGGGCTGAAGACAGGCCAGGTTCTGGATTCTCCTACACAGACAGCAACAGAAGCATCACCTGGGGATAGAACACACTGATGCAGGAACTGGAAAATTCCAAAAAGTTCATTCATAGAACAAAAATTATCTTCACCAGGATTAAGAAGAAGGGAGAAAGGGCAGACCTAATAGCTCATAAAAAGGCTACTAATAAGGGGCTGGAGAGATGGCTCAGTGGCTAAGAGCACTAGCTGCTCTTGCTTAGGAACCTGGTTCAATACCCAGCACCCACATGGCAGCTAACAACCATCCATAACACCAGTTCCAGGGGGATCCAACACTCTCTTCTGGCCTTTGAGGGCTTTGGGTGACATGGGTACACTTATACACATGCAGGCAAAGCACTCATACACACAAAATAAAAATAATTTTTAAAGATTTATTTTTTAAAAAGGCCCCTAATTAATAATAGCCATTCACTTATTCCAAAACAAATGTCTCATGGATGTTAATGTATATCACAATCTAATTCATACACCAGAATTCAGATTATAAATGGTTAACAGAATATTTTTGTTGGACAGTACTGATTTAAGTAAAATTGGCTTGTAAAGTAAGTATCTTTTTTTTGAGACAGGGTCTCCCTGTAGCCCCAGCTGTCATGGAACTTACTATGTAGACCAGGCTGGCCTGGAACTCACAGAGATCCACCTGCCTCTCCTACCAAGTGCTGGGATTAAAGGCACGTACCACCATACCAGGTTGTAAATACCTTTCTTTAAGAAAATAATTCCAGTTCCAAAAATACCACTGCTTTCCCCTTCTAAAAGAGATGACTGGACGTAATTAGCAATGTTCAACTTTTCACAGGGATGGAGAATGCTTCCTCAAAACCTATTGAAGATTGGTTTTATACTTAGAGTCATATAACTGGTTATATGCATATGTTTAAACATTGGGGAAATTTTCTTCACTGTCTTAGAACCAAGCAAAAGATTCACCTGTGTTTGACTTTATGTTCATTGGCCCATTAACAGGCAGTAGTTAAAGATAAGGAAACAACTGGCTATATAGTTCTTGACTTTGCCAATTTAGAATTCCCTATATCCAAAGATGCTGACTTTTGCTACTGAAAGGCATTTTAGTGTTGTTTACACATAGTATCAAATAAAGAATATTTAACATTTCTCACATTTTATAGTTGGCCTGTAAGTTCAGATGTTTTAAAAATCAACGTAGTAGATACATTAGCAAGTGAGACCTTTTAAATTCTTTATTATATAAGACTAAACTTGGATTCAGGATTGCC